CTTGGCGTATGTATGTTGATTGTCGTGCGATTAACAACATCACGGTAAAGTATTGTCATCCTATTTCTAGATTAGATGATATGCTTGATGAATTATATGGTTCTACTATTTTTAGCAGAATTGATTTGAAAGTGGTTTTCATCAAATTCGAATGAAAGAGGGCGATGAATGGAAAATTGCTTTCAAAACAACATATGAATTATATGAACGGTTGGTTATGCCTTTCGGTTTAACTAATGCACCAAATACTTTTATGAGACTTATGAATCATATTTTGGAAGATTTCATTGGAAGATTTGTTGTTGTGTACTCTGATGATATCCTTGTGTATTCTAGAAATTTGAATGAAGATGAAGAACATTTGAGAAGTGTTTTAGTTACCTTGAGAAAAGAGATGTTGTATGCTAATTTCAAGAAGTGTTCTTTTTGTTTACATCGAATTATGTTTTTGGGTTTTGTTGTGAGTAAGCAAGGTATTGAAGTTGATGAAGAGAAGGTAAGTGTTATTAAGGGCAAGGTAAGTTGAATAACAGGCATGCTAAATGGGTTGAGTTCATTGAAACATTTCCTTATGTAATTAAGTACAAGCAAGGCAAAAGGAATGTTGTGGCATATGCACTTTCAGAAAGGTATGTTTTACTCAATGTTTTAGGTGCTCGAATGCTTGCTTTTGAACATGTTAAATCTCTTTACGAAAATGATTCTGATTTTTTTAGCATTTTTAAGGCATGTGAGAAAGTTGCATTCGGCAAGTTCTATAGAATGGATGGGTTTTTATTTAAAAAGAATAAGTTGTGCATACCTATTTGTTCTATGCGAATGTTGCTTGTTAAAGAATCTCATGGGGGAGGTTTAATTGGAGATTTTGGTATTTCAAAGACTTTAGATATTGTAAAGGAACATTTCTATTGGTCTAAAATGAGGAAAGATGTGCAAAGAATTTGTGATAGGTGTGTTGTGTGCAAACAAATTAAATCTAAAGTTTTGAATCAAGGATTGTATACACCTTTACTTGTTTCTAGTGAACCTTGTACTGATATTTCAATGGATTTTGTTTTAGGTTTGCCTAGATCAAGGAAAGGAAAAGATTCAATTTTTGCAGTGGTTGATAGGTTTTCAAAGATGTCGCATCTCATATCTTGTAATAAAATTGATGATGCCATTAACATTGCAAATCTGTTCTTTAGGGAAGTAGTACGTTTGCATGGCATTCCAAAAACAATTATAAGTGATAGGGATGCAAAGTTTTTAAATCATTTTTGGAAAGTTTTGTAGACTAAATTAGGAACTAGATTGTTGTTTTTTACTATTTGTCATTCATAAACTGATGATCAAACTGAAGTTGTGAATAGAACTCTAGGAACCTTGTTGCGTGCTATTGTCCAAAAGAATTTGAATGATTGGGAAGAGTACATTCCATTTGTTGAGTTTGCATATAATAGAGTTGTGCATTCTACTACTGGTTATTCACTATTTGAAGTTGTTTATAGTTTTAATCCTTTAACTCCTTTGGATTTAGTTCATTTACCATGTAATGAAAGAACTACTTTAGATGAAAAGAAAAAGATTGATTTGGTAAAGAGGCTACATGAAGATGTGCACAAGAACATAGAGAAGAAGAATCAACAAATTGCAAGTCAAGTAAACAAGGGAAGGAGGCGAGTAATATTCGAACTTGGTGATTGGGTTTGGGCGCACATGCGCAAGGAAAGGTTTTCTACTCAGTGAAAATCAAAACTGCATCCTAGAGGCGATTGACCATTTCAAGTCCTTGAGAAGATCAATGATAATGCCTATAAGTTGGATTTTCCTAGTGAGTATAATGTGATTGCTACTTTTAATGTAGCTGATCTTTCTCCTTTTTGATGTAGATGTTAGAGATTCGTGGACGGATCATCTTGAGGAGGGAGGGAATGATGCAAATAAGACAGGATAGAAGAACATAGATCCAATTCAGCTATTTAATGGTCTGATTATAAGAGCGAGGTTAAAGAAATTTAAGGACGCATTAAATGGGATGATTCAAGACTTGTGGATTGACATTGCTAAAATTCAAGAATGCACAAAGAAGCATGTATTAGGCTTGGGATGAATAACATAAATCAAAACTTGTCATATTAACTTAGTGGAAGTTCTACCAGCTCAATATAAATTGACCAGTTTGCTTGGATGGGTTATAACTTGGG